CTACCACAACAGGCAGGACCCATTCCTTTGACCCGCACTGATAAGCAGACTCCTCAGGTTTCTGAAAATGTGTCTCTGCGGAATGGAAGCATCATCACATCCACCTCTTCTGCTTCATCTGCTGTGAACAACACAAATGTAACCTCTCCTCCTACGCCTTTGAATGGGGAAGTGAGTTCAGACAGTGCTATTGGTAGTAGTGCAACCTCTACACCCAGTTCCCAACCTGAAATTTCCAGTTCATCTGCAGCAACTCCTAGCACAGACATTAATACAAAAACTGTTGCACCAGTGGTTGACACAAAGACAGTGAGTGTTATAGCACAAACTCCACCTCGAGAGAAATCTAAGGCCTCCCCACAAACTTCTGCCACAGGTCCTCATCAGAGTATTGAAGGCAAGCCTGAAAGTTCTGCAGAAGAATGTGAATCAGGAGCTGATAAAGATGACAGTATAGAGACTGACAAGGATTCATCTACTCAGGTGAAAGAGAAGTCAGTGAAACCTGTATCTGAAGAGAATTTGGAGAGATGTAATCCTGTGATCATGTCCAGTACAACTGATGTGACTGCACCACCCATGGAACAAGCATCAAACATTGTTTCTTTCAGTAATAGTGGCCGTTCTGTGTCAAAGCAGTCTGATGACGGGTTATCTGTACCATCTCCTTCTCCAGGATCTAAAGATTCGGTGTCGCCAGTCCGTTCACCAAAGAGTGGGAACCCGAAACGAATGAAAAAAGTAGATTCCATCTTGGAGAATCTAGTGGAGAGTGGGACTAAGAAACTTGGAGGAGGAAGTATGGGCACTGCAGTGGTTGAGCTGTCACCGCAGACTCCCAGCACCACCACTGTTGTAGTCCCAGCATCTGTGATTGTCTCTCCAGTAGGTACTAGTGAAGACAGTGGCAGTGGTCAGGGTCGTGATGCTCAAACTCCTTCACCAGGAGCTCAGCAGAAGCAGCAACCTGCAAATCAACACAAGTCACCAGTCCCAGTGCGTGAAGAGGATGCCGTATCACCTACCTCCGGAGGGGGCGATGACTCAGAGAATGGCAAGCCCAGGCGTAAGAGAAAACTTGACAAACCAGTTCGTGTGTCCAAGGTCTCTGGCGAAGGTGAAGTTGAGAAGGAACCTGAATTTGATGGAGATATCAGAGGAAAAGATGATGGTCAGAAGTTAGAAGAAGGACCTGCAACTGATGAGAACAGTGAAACTAAAGAATCAGCTGCTGTAGAATGTACTGCTTCCATAACAAATGCAGAGCAGGATCCATCTACCAAACCCATTGAAGCTGTTACTGTGGATGCAGTTAGCAACCGAGATTTGACAGAGAAGCAGGAGCCTACACGAAGACGCCGATCCAGCGAGAGCTCAGCAATGTCCCCATCTTCTGCATGGTCTGTGGCTGGCCAGAGGACACGAAGAAAGTCTGCTAGTGATCAGCAGGAGGAGAATGGATCCAGCAATGCAGGAGATCTCCTCTCTGTTTTGGTCTCAAATCATCATGATAAGAATGCAATGGGAGACTCAAAACCTGAAGTAAAAAATGCCTTTATTGAAGTAGAGACAGAATTAGAGAAGATGTTTGCAGGGATTGTTGAACCAGAGGAGTGTGTAGATCCATTGAAGCTGGATTCTGCCTCTCCAGTACCAATGGAAGTATCCCCAGCGAGTAAGGCTCTGGATAGTTTGACCAGTATTGATTCTGCTGCATCTGTAGGGCCAAAACCCACTTCAGGTCTAAAGTCACGTGGAAGACCAAAGGGCTCTAGGAATGGAGCCAGATCATCTGAGAGCATATTTGGGGCATCTTCAACAGATAGTATGCCAAAGAAAAAGAAAAAGAAGCAAGGCAAGAGGTCAGCAGATGATTCTCTGAGCCTGTTACAGAAGAAGGTAAAGAGGTCAAAATTGTTTCAAGGTGAGAACGGGGGCGACAGCCCCATACCTCGGAAAAAGGGTCTCATTAAAGGTGAGAGTGTGTGTCGTGATGGCCCCTTGCAATCAGGATCTGTATATGACAGTAGCAGCAACACCAGCAGTAGCCGTTCTAGGGGACCTGTGGTACACATTGAGGGTCCCAGAGATAATCCATATCATGTGTCTGTTATTAATGCACCATTTCGAGGTGAGGACGAGGATGGTGGTGACAGGGGAGGAAGCAAGAAACAGCCCAGTACTGCCATTAGAAGGAAGACTCCAAGTTATCACAATGATTTGGATTATCGAGGTGAGTGATGTTTAAGATTGATTTACAGAACTTCTTAGGTGTGTTGTGGCTGTTAATGATTTCTTGTGAATAAACTGCAGCAAAATTTTAGTTGTAATGGAAACTTATGTTGCCAGATGTCTGTATCCATAGCAGCATCCTACACCAATGCACTACAGTTATGTTATACACTAGTATAGTATGATAGTTGGTAGGAATGAACCTTGTTTGTGTACTGCCGTTGGAAAATCTGGATACAAATAGAAAACAGCAGATTCTTGATATCTTTGCTTCTCAAAAGGTTGCTGTACTACTGCTTTTGAACTCCCTTGTAATGGTAATGTGCTTCATGAAACTGATAGTTATTATTTGTTTTCAGGCAAGATGACACGCAGTGGGAGCAGTGCTTTAGGCATGTTCAGCAGTACGCTGTCTGCACGCTATGATGCACAGACTAGAGACCAAACATGGATTTGTGTTTTCTGCAAACATAGGCCACATTTTGGTGTAGGAGGAGACTTGTTTGGCCCATACCTGTTGACTCCACCAGATAAATTGGATGTGATTGCTGATGGATCTGCTGATGAACGAGACATTACAGAGGAACAGAAGCTTAGTGGAGGACGGAATAAACTCAGCTTACGTGGGGCAAAAATGGTTGAACAGTTCTGCCAGAAAATGTCAAGAAAGGTACATGTCAAGTGTACAGTAAGAACCTGTTAACATATATATAGTATTACAAAATCTCTCCATGATTGTAAGTAACAATCATATAAGTATATGAGAAGGGTGGATCATAGTTCTGATACATACGACCATGGTTCCAGTCAGCTACAAGTCTGCAGGAGATAGAAGCAGGAAAAAGCCATGTACTAGAGTGCTAGCTGATCAGGTAGAAAATTTTATCAGTGAAAGAACTGCAGATTTGTTTAACTTTCTATACTATCGTTTGTAATTATGTAAAATAGAAAGTTCAGATATTTATTTATAGTCCCTTCCACAGATGTGAAACCCCAGGAAATATATGATATGTTGTGGGAGATTTTACCCCTGCTGTTGGAAATAATATTTTCTCCCGCTCCTAAGCCTCCTACTGTATCTCTTCTACTGGCTGTCACTTTGCAGTTAACACTGTCATAAGACTTGTGTGATTGGTGTGGAGGGTCATGTTGTAACATGTCAGCGGTTGAAAAATGTTATTCTTAAAGTCTTGTTGTTATGAGGGTTGTGCGTAAGTAGGCGTGCATTGGATTCAATTAGATATGGTAGCTTAGCTTACTGTAACAATGTTGCCACTTCCTTAGTGGCGTAAGTTGAGGGAGGGATTACCTAAGCTGCGAAAATGAATGCAGCATTTTGACCTTGTCTGAAAGTTTTACATTTGTTGGTTTACAGTACAAAATTTAGCAGTGTCATAACACTTGATAAGATTTTAGCTGGAATATGAACCTTGTCTTAAAATGTGCAATATGATCACAGTGAAAAATATAATTTTATCAACACACTTTTGTGAAATGATTATACCTGACTTGAACTAGAAAACATAGGTGAACATTCTGCATGTTGGAGTTGAATGCTTTGGTTGCATGTGGATGTTTACATGCTATAGATCCAACGGTCACACTCTTTGGACAGCGTGCCGGTACTTGGAATGGTACCTGTATCTTCAAATGGTAGTGATGGGAAGGAAGACGGTTACGAAGTATGGGTGCATGAAGAGTGTGCAGTGTGGGCTGCTGGTGTCTATGTTGTTGGATCTCGCATTGTTGGGCTCCGAGAGGCTGTTTGGAGCGCAGTCCATACGGTCAGTATGCAAGAGTAAAAGCATGTTTTCTGTGTTCTTATGAAATATGTGAATTTGAATGAGCTTTTAAGTGATATCTGAAAAGTTCTGGGAAGAACTTACAGCACTTAGTGTTCCTTCTTATTCCCCAGTTATATGCTATGAGACTACCAGAACAAAACATTAATAATTACACAGTTTAGCTTGTATTTTTAACTTCGTTTCCTGACACTGGAATGGACCTCATAGCAGAACCTCCTTTTTAACTCTCTCTGCTTTCACCAACTACCAAAGAAATATATGTCATTAGCAATATTATTTCAGCAGCTACAAAGTGTGTAATGTCTTCAGTTTGGAAGAAAATTAAGGATTTTTATCTGCATTTACTTTCAACCACTGCTGCTGTTGTCATTGGTCACTAACCTGATATTGATTTATAGAAAAATGAGCTTTACTGCTCGGCCATACTAGGGCCTTCAACATTCTCTGAAGTCTGCTGAGTTTTTTTATTATTATTAATAATGCTCCTGTGACACATGTTTGCACTTGATTTCTGCAGTTAAAGTGTGATTGTTTAATTATATGGCATTAGTAAAAACTATGCTGTCTGCTTTATAGTAATTTTGCATTTGACTTTTAGGCATGTTTTCTTCAGATAATTGTGCTGTGTTGTGATAGTTATAAAAGGGACAGTTTATTTAATTTCAGGAGGGTAGCTGCAGATATATTTAATAAGAAATCATGGACATGCACCATTGAGTGCTTCCCCAAGTTGACAGTTGTTTGTGTTGGGGCGTGGGGACACCTTCAAGTTTTAGTCAGTGTGTTACATTTTACACATGGTTTTTGCCTTTGCACTGAACTCTTATCCCTGAAATTAGTTAGGAATGTTTTAATTTCCTTTAGATTCACAGATGTTCCTGTATTCCTGTAGAAATACTGCCCTGTTTCTTCCCTGAATTAAATTGTGTCTCTCTGATACTTGTTATAGGAGGTTAATGGTCTCCTATGCATGCTTGGTATTTGGTCATCTTAACTTTTGTTTTGAATTAACTGTTTTCAGATATGTAACAAATGTGGTGAAGGAGGAGCAAATGTGGGTTGTGTCCGGAGAGGTTGTGAGCGGCGCCTCCACTATGGGTGTGCAAGGGAGGAGGGATGGGAACTGGACGAAGAGGCATATATTGCTCGCTGTGCTCAGCACAAGGTAAGTTATTGAAGGGTTGACATTTTTATTATTTCCTTCTGTATAAGAATTGGAAAGGCATATCAGGGCACCAGAAGTATTAAATGAATGTACCGTAATTACTTGAATCAAGACGTACATGTATGTATCTCACTTTTTAAATGGAGAAGAAAGCATATTCAAAAAATGGAACGGTGGAAAATTGACAGTTTTCTGATAGTTATTACTAATGTAAATGATATCCTGAAACTGGGTATGGCATTTTATATTGTGTACTGTAAAGAAAAGTGTATCTTTGAAACTGAAGGTATGGCATTTTAAAAAGGCAGAATATAATCAACATACTGTAGACACTGGTGGTTCTTTTTCTGGGATGTTGAATAGCAATGTGTACTACAGGAAAGCCTGAAACTTCTACCTTACGAACATCTCAAAGAGGTGAAGATGCAGTGCATTTTATAGGCTATGATATCTGTACAGAATATTGCGTGGTAGTTACAATGTATATTATAAGCTATGGTTTCAAAGCCTTGACTTACCAAAATTCATAGATATGGTTTCTCTGGATTTCATTGTATGGAGGTTTTATTGTATCTTTCACATTTTCTAATAATGTTGTCTTCCACCTTCAAGAAGAAGCTGCCAGCATGATTTCAGATTTTGTTCTTGGGAGGCTAGTACAAGTTTCATATATCCTAGTCACAGTTACAAGTTCATCAAAATATTTATGTGTTATATTATTAGGTATTCATAGACAGTTTGTAGAATGTGATGTCATTCATTGAATGATCTAATACATTCTAAATTTTATCCTTATTAATGTCTGCTTTTTTTTTTTTTTTGTGGCCTGAGGTATAATAACAGGAGCCCTTAAGCTTGAAGTCTATAAGGAAAGGAAACTATTTTTATGCATTTTTACATATTTGTTTTATGATGGTGTGTTCATGAAGTGATGCTGAATGTTGAGAAATTTTCATAACTCAGGACTCTAGTACCTCACATTGTCTAACATACCAAGTATTCTCTTATTTTGCAACCATTAGGGATTGTTCCCTGGTTAAACAATATGTACGTAGTATTGTCAGGATGTTAGAAAATAATTTAGAATTATTTGAAACTCTCCATTATCTGTTTTTCTAGTATCACTCTTGCATTTGCTTCCATTCTGTCTGTACATTCCTCTATACTTTGTCTTGATATTGCTCTTTCAAGTACATATAAATTGAACTTCAGAACTGCAGGCCAGTGAAGTATTATAAATTATAATATTTGTGAAGCGTAGTGAAGTATATTTTTACAAAATGTTTTGCATCATTTTGCAGGGCTTGTAATTTTGGTGACTTCTTTGATCTGAATTTCTTACATCCGTAAGCTGCTTTCTTCTCTAAATAATTAATAGATACACAGAGTGACTTCCTGATCCGCTTAGTGCTGGGGTGATAAATTGCTTTATGTATTTTATTCGACAAACAGTACCACCTGACTATTTTTAAAGTGGAGGTAGGCTTTTAGGCACATAGTAGATAATTTACTTAGTTTCTGATGATGATGATGATATTTGCAACAGTAGTCATTATGACAAACATTTAACATACACAGTAGTGCCATCACTTGAAACATTGCGTATGTTGAGTTGGTGTTGCAGCAGAACCTCCAGTTTTTTTCCTGCTATGTTTTAGAAAACTTATATGTATGTAATTATATTTTTCCAAGATACAGAAATCCTTTTATCTGTTGTGGGATGTGGCAAAAACTTCTGTCACAAGATTTGCATTTGTTTAATATTTATTTGATCTGAAGAATGTGTACATATGTGCAAAACTTCATGTAGACCAGGGTTTCTTAACCACAGGTCACATATGGCACTTGTGTGTTTGTTGTGGCCAGCATAAATTCCTGTTAACGTTGTGTTATAATGATGCAAAACAGTTACCTGATGCCAGAAAACACACTTTGTTTATGTTATGAGTATTGGTCATAGTTATTTCTGAAAGGAACTTCCAGATTGCATAACATTTATGTGTATAATGTGTTTGTATTTATAAACACAGAAGTTGGAGAACTGCGTGAAATTTTCTTTCATGCTCTGAGTGCCAATTTGTTAGATATGTAGTAAGTCTTCCACTTCTGTGGTCATGTGGTTGTAGGTCTGTACAACCATGTTATGCAGAGAAGTTGATGTGACTGTGATTAACATCTTTTCTGCAGAAATTAATGTCTGTCATCTGTTTCCACATCATGAACTCCAAAAAGAAAGAAAAAACATAACATAGTAGTATCTCTGTGCACTAGCAAAATAATTGTGCTTTTACATGTTTCTGGAACTTATTGCTCATTAATGTGCTAATATTTCTTTACAAACTGCTGTTTGCCTGTTTTATATCACATGTACATACTATGTGTATTTATCATACAAATTTGTTATATGTAATATTTTGGATAATAAGTACGTCTCTTATTCAAATAAATACGGTGATTAAGTCTGGCTGGTGCCAATGAAGTAGCAGCTATATATTTAGTCATGCTGGTGCCAACAAATTTGCAACCGTATATAGATTTAAAATATGACCAGTGGTTTGTGATATAAAATCTAGCACAAATACTTGTTTTGCATTGAATTTTACCCAAAAATTTTGGCATAAAAATAGGGTTTTTAGTTGTATTTCAGTATTTGGTAAATAGATGTAATAATATTTCATAAATATTTTTTACCATGATAAGGTTCAGAGTTTGAGTACCATGAGATCTGATGAGGTTTATAAGTGGCAGTTTAATACATTAAATTGATTTTAATTACATGCTTATTAGTTTGAAATGCAGATGTAGAATGAGCTGCTGTTGTGTAGACAATGTTTAGCTGTAATTAAAAATTGAGATGTAAATGATGAAATATATGTAACAATATTTGCCTTACCTTTTCCTTTTTTGTCATTGTTTGGGGAAGCCTGATTGTTTTTCAAACTTTTCTAAGGATAATTTATGTGTACTTCGTCAGTGTGCTAACCATTATGACAATACACAATGCCTGTCTTTCAGAAGGGGGTGTATTCTTCCGAGGAAGCCATCCTACCAACGTAATGTTACATTCTGAGAAGAGTGGCATTATCTGTTCTTTATCTGGAAAAAATATATAGCAATCAGTACCTGTGACAAGTGTAGGACACTGAGTAATGTAGGAGCTTGTGGTGATTGTTACTTCTTATCGTGTTCATCGTATCACTGCAGTCTTCATTTGTGAACTGCTGTCAGAGTTTGTCATGCAGAAGTCCACTGTTGTAAGAAGCGAGATTCATGAGGTTTGAATTCCAGAGTTTGAAAGACTCATATGATACTGTATTATATTTAATGAGAGAAAACATAAGTACTGACATGTTTTACATTAATAATCTTTATTTTTTAAATCAGACTTTATCTTAATCAGTTGTCATGTATCAGTGTGAAACTTCTTTTTTTCTACTGTGCTTGTGACTTTATCAGTGAATAATTTAGCAGGTGATTGTTCTCTATGGATGTAATGTTTCTGAGTTCATGAATTTGATGAGACTACAGCTGAAGTGAGAGGAGTCTCAGAATGTGGCACAGTTCACACCATTTGGAAGGTGACAGTGACTGGATATACACTGCTACTCCCATTACTTTAATGTTTCTGCCTCACCATGCACCATCCTTGTTCAGAGAATTTGTTCAGTTGGTTGTGATTGTTCTGAATATGTTTAAACACTTGCTACTTCTTGAAACCTTTTTTGTTATGAACTTCATTATTCTGTGGTCAACATAAAAAAGGTGCTCCCTGTTTGTAAAGTTGGTTTGGTATCTCATAATGCAACATAGCTATTATCTTGATGTTTGATTTGCAATGAATGTCTTTGTGTATCATAACTGTTCTGTTCCTTGAACATCCTAACATCATTGTGTATCATAACTTCCATAAATATCCTTGTATCAAACAAGGGGTATATTGCACCAGTTGGTACCTTACAGTATTGTAGTTGATGGTGTGGTATAAGCAACAACATGAATTGAAGCAGGAAGCTAGCAGTTCAATAAAATTAGACAGTGAAGTTTAGTTAAATGTGACAGTCACTGTCACTGTCACTGAGTATTTAAATTCATGTAATTGCCTTGGTTATTTGTTTTTAGAAATTTTAGAATTTGCTTTTGCTAAACCTTTGCCTACATACAATTTTATCTTTAACATTTTGTTGGAATGGCAGAAGCAAGGTAACTAATTGTGTACCTTTTTCCTCACTTAATTCTCTACATCTTTCAGATCCCAAATCAAATACCACAGTTTTTTTATGAAGGAAGTACATTGTAAATTCAGTGTTTATTATAAAATCAGAACCACTTTGTACAAACAAAATTGGAATGATATGAAAACAAGAAGGCTGTGTTTGTCGAGCCAAATGATGTGTGTTGAACACTTCTTATAAAAGAATCTATATTTCTGATTGCAAGAGGAGATGTATCATAGGTTAGGTATGGATTATAATTTCTTATAGCTATTATAAGATTTAAAAGACCGCAATGTAAATAATTGTTCAAATTGCATGTTAGTGAAAAGAGTTTCATTTTTCTATGTAGTAATTCCTAGCAAACATTCATTGGAGGTTACATATATCTTTTTTCTGTCATAAAACTTTGTTTTCAGAGGTAGGACAAGGCTCACAATAGAAAAAAAGTGTTTTACTTTAACTGGGTACATATAAAAATGTGCCCTTTCATGCTGTGTCTGTTTCAACTGGTGTAGGAATCTGTTTTTAATCCCTCTTTCCTTCAGGGTCCAGTTTAAAATTTTCATGTCATTACCAGTATCTGATGTTTATGTAATTTCACCAGCCCCTCTGTTCTCATGTTTTAACAGATACTTATGAACAGATTGTATTGAATAAAAAACTATTGACCAAGAATGATCGTCTTCAGTAGTAATTTTACTTCTAAGTATAATGGAAAAACATTTGGTTTTTATTATGGCTCTCTTAGATATTTTTAATTTTTATTTTCCCATTTAGGCGTTTCCAAGTATTTGGTGCTAGAAATGTTCTGACAATTTATGCGGCCCACCATTACAACAATTTTTCCTGGTGCGTTATCTATGAAATGATGGTGGATCGAAGGAAAATTTCTGCGTGAAGGGTTGGCAGTATTGATTGTGCTGCCATCTGTGCCCAGGCTTTGCCACCTATTTCCAATCGTACGTGGCTCTATCTATATTTTTATTGTGTATTACTTGCAACTTCTGTTAACGATGTTATGGTCAGTTGTCAATGCAGAGTTGGCGGCTACGGTGGTGGTGGTGGTGGTTTGTGGTGTGAATGTTAATTTGTGATTTGTGTTATATTTGTTTGTTAGTTGTGATTTTGGGAATGACGAATCGTTACAGATGACGATTGGAAGTCATGGGCAGGACTAGGAGGAGAATCTCGTTGAGCATTCGGATGTTATTTTTGTGTGTCATGGGTGCTGTGTCAACATTTGGTGAAATTCATGGTGAGTTGATTTCATCGTCTGTTCCAGTAATATAGCGCCAACTTTAAAACAGTGCTGCTGTCAAAATGTCACTTAATGTATAATTATGGGTTTCAGTAATGTAACAGGGTAATGAAGGCCAGTTAATTTTAAAATTACAACTGCTAGGAAAATTGAATTTATAATGTTCTATATTAATTTGTTTTATCACGAAAGATGCGTCATTCACATTTATGTAAATTTAAGTATAACACTGAACAGAGAAATATTTAATTTCTAGTTGTCTTTTAGATCAATACACTTGTAGTCTGTTTCAGAATAAGACAATACCATATGATCATAATAATAAATACAGTAAAAGCTGTGCTCAAAAGATTTCAAAAACAAGCATATAGTATTGCATAAACACATACATGTTAATAGTCTATATTGCACTAAATAACTTATACCAGGTACAGTAGAAATTATGTAATTTTTATCTGTGCTTATTAATTCAGTTGGTGTAAGTTCGTTCAGATAAATATGAGTGACTTAAAGTAGCTTACAATTGTTTTATACCTTGTTACCAGAGAGTAAATTTTCTTATGAATTTGCTTTGTCACTCTAGATCAGTGGTCAGGAACACTTGTTGTAGGTCAATGTTTAGTTTGTACCATAAAATGACCCATATATTGTAGTTGTGTTTGATAATAGTGTATTTTGCTTTATATACACGTTAATTGCATGTTAGACATTTTAATTGGCTGTTTTGTTTCTTTTCCCCCCTTATGCTTCCAACATATATGAATTTTAAGCACATAAATTTGGAGAGCATCTGAAATGCAGTTCTATCTTTTCTAAGTGGAAGTTACTGCTTTTGTACCACCAAATAACTCTTTTAAATATGTTCTTATACTGCTGATAGAAAAGTGGCTTAATTTGGAGTTATGACTGTATAGCTTTGGATGGTCTTGAAAGCAGTGAAACTAACGTAACCTATTTTTTAAAGCGATGTGTCCTGATAACCCACAAGTACCTTGGAAACAATTTTTTCTCTCATAATGCGCTTGAACTGAGTTTTCATTAAATTTTTAATAATACTGAATGGCATGATATTTGTATATTTTAAATGTGCTTGTTTCGTTATTTTTAGCATTATTAATAATGTATATCAACATTTTTATTTTAATAATTTGTGGAGATGGTTAATATTTTTATACACAGTTCTATATTTACATTGCAGAAAATAGTTATTCTGAAACATATTTTTGAAGTATGTCATTAAGGTAAAGTGGTCTCTGGTACTTAACTTAGCACCATGCCATGCAGGAGCTGGGTGATTACCTCCACTCCACGTTTCAGGGGAACATGCTGCCTCAATCTTTAGGGTTTAACCCCTCTAATTTTTTTTCTTGTAGAAAGAAGTAAACCTTTCAATTCACCGGTTATCTTATTATTATTATTATTATTATTATTTGGAAAATAATTGTTCTTGTTCGTTTTTAATCACCCCTGCTGGAAGTTCAACAGTTTTATTTGAAACTGGATGATATAACTGTCGCCTTTGTGGTCTGCTTTCATTGCAAGTTTATTAAAGTTTGATTTAATTAAACAAACGTAATTTTCGATGGACGACATACACATAGATTATGCTCATATGAGGCAAGAAACACTATTTGCCGGAAACTGTGTGTGACGGCGTAATATGCAGCGTTTGGTGGAAAATACAGCTTTTGTGTGTGTACATAATTTTGAATAGGCTGCAGGTGCAGTAGCCGTGTAACGGGAATAAGATGATGAACGTCCTACTTAGGACAGTCGGCTTGTGAAGTTGCCTTTATGCCTTGTTCATTCGCTCTCGCAGTTGGAATTGCCATACAAGGGACAGGAACGTTGTCTCTTACATGCACGACGAATCCTGCTGCATCTGGTTCAAAATGTCCGTGACAGTTTGTAGACTTGAAATTCCTATCCTTGCTCTCAGAAGATGTTTACTTCATTGGGGGGTGAAACCGGCGGCAGGAGAGAATTTCACAATGAAGACATTCAAAATGTACGAGCATTGTTAGGGTGATCATAATTAAAGAGGGTGGGATGAGCAGGACATGTAGCAGGCCCGCGCATAGATGATAAACGCATACTAAAGTTTAGTCAGGAAACCTGGAGGTATAAGATCTGTACACAAACACTGACATGACAAGAAAATGTACAATTTAATTTGGATAAATTTGGTGACATGTAGAGAAAGTCGATGAAATTTGTAGCAGTGATTTAAATAAGGAGATTTTCATATTTACCCTGGCCTGAAATTTAGAAGACTTTGTCGTATGTGAGAGGATAGTATTAGAAGTTGTTTAAATAAATGGGACATGGATGATGTGTAACAGCGGGTTCGAATTCCTCTCGGGGCATTGAAGTTTATCCTCAATTTTTGTGTATTGTCGGCCATTTTGCTGTAAGCCGGGCCCAAAAATGATCGGCCATGTCTGGAATATGGTGACACAAGACTGATGGTAGCCTTTGAACGTTTGAATGTAGATTGAAAGCCGATTAGAATGTGACAAGTCTTACGAGCCGCACATAGGACCTTGTTCCATTCGTGTTCAGCTCTCAAAACTTATAATTTAAAGTGCGCTTTAATACGAAGGCGGAGTAACTGAGGTCACTGCTCATGGTTTTCCGCATACACTAAATGGGGAAAGTTCGTATGATCTCAGCCGTGCAATAATGGCTGTAGCTCAAGAAGAAGAAACATGCGTATTATTACTTGTTGACGGTGTGTCGCTTATACTTCTTTTCCGCAAGAGCTGTAGACCAGTACAACAGACTACAAATTCAGTTCTGTTCTCAACCTAACCAACCAACCTACTGGAATGTTTCAGAAAACATGTAATTAGTGTTGTATAAACGTGTATACTGAAGGGCTAGTTTAAAACGAACTTAGGATCAAACAGCAAACAATTTATCGTGCATTTTTTTTATTTAGTGTTCTGTCTGACGACAGGTCCATATGAACAGGATCCTTCCATCCTTTTCTCGGACTGGGACCTGTTCATATACGTTCTTGGCAGATGATCCAGAAGTGGTTTGCCATTGCCTTCTTCTGTGTGTGAATGGAGTAATTGTTGGGATGCCACGGAGAAACCGGGGAAGCCCCCGGAGGAAAACTCCGTGTTGCCTAGACCACGGCCTTGCCCAACACAAGTTATAAATTCGGGCACAGCTGGGAATCGAACCCGAGACCCCAGGATTACAAGGCCAGCGTTCTAACCGCTAGACAACATGTTTTACATTGTAATTAACAAAAATAACTTAAAAATAGTTTTATAAATAGGTTTTATTATTCAGTTATATTGTGGCAAATATAGTTGTCGCTGTGCATAACTAAGCATCACTCCACGCATTCGTAACCTCGGCACTAGATGGAGGTGAATGGTTAGCATCACGCCCCGACCGCTGTATCCCCAAGGAAAGAGCCCCGGCACGTATTGGATAGGAGACTGGGTGGGTCCCAGGGCAGAGTGGAGAGAAAACGCTGTTGGACTTCGTCTTTTTAAACGAATACTGCAATTTTGATGCAAAAGAGTGTTGATTTTCCATAACAGTCTTGTATTCTTATACGATTATAGCCACAGTATTGCATAAATGTTAGACTGCGGACTTGAGAATCTTCAGTAGGATTATTTTCCACGCCCTTAAAATTTGAACTTGTGTATAGCTCGTACGATAATTTAAGGACTATAAATATTTTTCAAGGAAAAGTTTACGTGTTGCAATAGAATGTAATCAAAGAGGTCAGAATAGCTTTTGCGTATGTGATGTTTGTGTGGAATGCTACAGGCATGCGGGAAAGGACATTTGTTCATAGTAACTCATTTCGAGATGTAAACATTTGGATGAGCTGTAATTGTGGTTGGGCCAAATTTGAATTTCGGTTAGAACCGCAGTCTCCCAACGCCGGTACGATCCTAGGATGAAAACGTTTAAACCTGAGCTGTACAATCTTGTGCATAATTTTTATTTATGGCGTGCAGAGGAATCTTGTGAGTAACGTTAGATTACACAGGGTGGTAAGAAAAGGATGTGATCTTTCGTTTGGAATGTTAACATCACTTGACATTGTATTCATTGTCATAATTCTGGACTTCAGTTTGTTCCACACGTCGACCTTGACGTGCCACGATGTGTTCCGGGAACGTAAATGACGTTTTTTTTCTCTCTCCTTCCTGTTCGGTGGACAGAACGTTGTTAAGACCTGCCCCCGCGCCTCCACACACATTCTATGTCAACACTAACATGTCATCGTATGTGAATAAGGACGTTGCCCCTGGGTGCGATTCGATAAACAGTCAACCACGTCGGAAGTAGAATAATAAATACACTTCAGAATGTGTGAAAGAAATATTCGAAATTCTAGTTATCGGAAGGCGTGTACAACCCGACGTTACAGAAGTGATGAGTGAAACCAAAGACAACAGGAAGATGGACTTCACCTGAGCCGGTCCTGGAAGCCTCTTATCCACACACTCCGAGGACTCCGAGAACGAGCAAGAGTGCGCCGCCAGAACCAACCAGACCACTAACTCGGCCCTTTTCAGGGCCCTGATCCATACAACTAAACTCACCTTTCTCTCTCTACTTTCTCTCCCTCTCCCACTCTCGCCCACGTGCTACCATTGGTCCACTCCCATACCTGCTCCCATTGGCTCGGGGCAGGCTACACCTTTCACTTCCCTGCCTATAAATCCAACTCCTCACACCCTATTGGCATATTCATCGCCCTGATGACGGAGGCAGTATGACCTCTGAAACGCTGGTAAACATCGACCAGACTACACAGCGCAACAACCCAGAAGACAGAAATCTTCATACTCATCGCCCTGATGACGGAGGCAGTATGACCTCTGAAACGTTGGTTAACATCGACCAGACTACACAGCGCAATAACCCAGAAGACAGAAATCTTCAGGAATATAGACCCTTAGGATTTGATTTAGAATAAATACTTTGCCCTCTTATAGTCTTTTGTTGTTATAATTAAT